TTACTAGAACCTTGATTGATGAAAAGGCTTGCCAGCCTGTATGAAAGAGAGGGGCACAGAGCTGGAATGATGGCGCAGTTGGTCAGCCCCAGTGCCTACCTACAATGTCTGGTGTGATGGCATCCTTTGGCCATCCCCATGCAGAGGAGCAGGAAAGGCCAATCTCTCTGCAGATCAGTGATCTCCAGGTTCAGTGGGAGACCCTGCCTCAAAGCATAAGATGGAGAATGATTAAGGAGGACACCTGCTGTAATCTCCCCAGGCACTTGCATGCACACTCATGTGCACATATTACACAAACACACTTACACGACACATGCATAAATGAAAAAGAAGGTAAGAAACAAACATAGGAGAAGGGGGCATACATAAAAACTAAATATTAAGCCGGGCGGTGGTGGCAGACGCCTTTAATCCCAGCACTCGGGAGGCAGAGGCAGGCGGATCTCTGTGAGTTCGAGGCTAGGCTGGACCGACAGCCTCCAAAATAATACAGAGAAACCCTGTCTCATAAAACCAAAATAAATAAATAAATAAATATTAAAGAATCTTGGACTTAGCTGGGGTGATAGCTTAGTCAGTAAAATGCCTACCATGCAAGCCAGAAGACCTGAGATTGGATCCCCAGAATCCGTGTTAAAAGCTTGTCACAGCCCCAAACTCATTTGCAAGCTAGCCTAGCTGAATTGGTCAGTTTCAGATTCACCGAGACATGCTGCCTCAAAAACAAACAAACAAACAAATACAGGAGAGAGCAGACAAGGAAAGACACCTGATATTGATCTCCAGTTAGAGGCTCCATATATCAAGTTTGGACAGATTTAGAATGAACTTGTCTACATAAGTTTATTTCATAGCATGCTAGAATAGAAAAGACTTGGGTTTTAATGCTAGAAGAAATAAGTTACACTTCGCATCTGACTTGTGATAATGGATAAATGATATAGTTTCTCTATAACTTGTGTAAAATCAGATTAACATTGCTTGCCTTGTGCGGCTCCCAGAGGAGGACATCTACAGTGGTGCCGGGCTCTATTGATGTTTCGTGACGGCTGCACACTTCTCAGCCCCCTAGTGTGCACCACTGTCAGCACACTTACACCTTCCGGTGTTTGTTTGACTGTCTCTGAGGCTAGTTTCTGCTCCTTGTTCATCTGTAACTAGGTAGTGCACTGCTCAGCATGTTTAAGTGAGTGAAATAATTTGGGCACTTAAATTTTAATACCTTGAAATAGAATTGCTTTTTAAATGCCAATTTTGGCATTACATGAAATCCAATATAGAGACTAGCATTAATGGATGCTTACATTTGGATGTGTTCCAGGGAGGGCTTGGGGACCTATGTCCTGTGAGGACAGACCACCACTAGATAGAGATCTTCATCACTTTAGTAACCAGTAGGAAGCTGCTAGGATTTTCTTTTTTCCTTCCTTCCTTTTTCCCTTCCTTCCTTCTTCCTTCTTTCCTTTCTTCCCTTTTTCCATATCACCCTTTGGGCTAGGTGTTCCTATTCCTACATTAGTATGAGGTGATGCCAAAAGGCTAAATGACTTCTGAGGACATGTCACTAGCTCATGGCAATATTGTAGTTTGAACTTGATTCTTTTTTTTGTTTGTTTGTTTTGTTTTGGAAATTTGTTTTGTTTTTTTTTAACTTGATTCTTTAACTTAACGTCTGTTACATTTTCTGTGACATAAAATAAAATAAATGCATCTGAATTTCATATAATCTGTGGCACATGGTATCAATAAACAGTGGCTGCTCCTATTTTCTATCCGAATGTCCTCTCTTGAGGCCTGAGACTGCTGTGCTACATCATTACAGCAATCTGAAAAGCCCGTGCAGACACTCTTAGAATGGAAGTCTCCTGGCTGCAGTGGCTCCAGACTCTGAGTCAGTGTCGATCAAAGCTCTTCCTTCAAGCCATCACCTCTCCTTCCCTGAAGGGTAGTACTGAGTGACTTCCTTGCCACCGGTGTTTTGCTGATAGCAGTGCAGTGGCTTGGTGGCATCATTTCTCTGGCCACTCATGACCTGGGTGTCTCCACTGTCCCGCTTGCTGCTGTAGGAGCTGGGAAGTCCAGCTATGTTGGTAAGACCCAGGGAGTATAACTCCTTGCTAAGCTTCCTACAGATTGATTGTTGGTTCTTTGTCCAGGGTCCCTTGAGTTCATATAGAGATGCTTTTATTTCTCTTGTATACAGTGGTTGGGAGAGAGGTAGGATAAACCCTTGGTTCTAGTTCTCTGACTCTGTAGTTGATTTGCAGCAAACATAAGATAAAGGAAACGTTTGGTAAGTTTCTACTATGTGTGTGCACACTGATGGACACATTACTGCTATCAAGGGGCCTGTTGTGTCAATGAAGCTGAGACTTAGTGAAGCCTGGAAACATCTGTTGGAGCCAGCGGTAATGAATGCCAAGATTCCTTCTGTAGACTCCAAAGCCCAAGTTCTAGCTGAGGAAGTAAGCATTGTGCATCAATGTGGAAAAGCACAATGCCTCTGAACCTCTTCGCTCAGTTCTTTAGTTAGGAGGATTGTACAGGATGATCCAGATAGGGTTTTCAACTTTAAATATTGGCTGTTTTCAATTAATTATGCCATGTCACAATTTTAAAAAAATGAAGCAAAACCTGCAATTTGGTTAGAAATGACACTTGGAGCGTAGAATGTATCTTCCCTCCCTCCCAGGAGTACACTTGAGGGAGAGTTAAAGGATTGCATGTAGTTTGCATTCCTCATGTTAAAGGGACGTTCCTCAGCTCTGCTTGCATTTCTCACTTGCAGGTAGTGAATCTCTGCTTGAATGTAGTGTGTTTTAATTAAGCGACTCTGTATTATTCACTGCAGAGTTATATAAGATGTTAAAGCCATGCCTTTTTTCTTTTTCATAGGAAAGTGTTAAAGAAACACATGAAGTGGAGTAATATGAGCTGGGGTCATATAGAATCTGCAAGGAGACCCTCAGGGGAATTGGTGAGATAGGAATTTCTGTTTTCTTCAGCTATATTATATAATTGTTTTTCTGACTGTGAGCTCCATAGCCTTGTGCTCACAGGAGACGCTTTCCAGTCTTGTGCATTTTTGAGCTTATTGCCCAGAGAAGGTGTAATCACTGCCAAAAACATCACTGTAGTCTTCACCTGTTCTACAGAGCATGGGTTTCCTGTATTCACAGTGATGGAGGGATATCCATCTGTCTGTATCGAGAGCTGCCTTGATGCTCCAGATGTTATCATCAATGGCCACAAGGTCATACATAGCCCATGAGAAATACATCAGTAGAAATACACTGGCATATGTTGTCTATTGCCAAGTATATATAATGTCTTTTTGTGGCATTGGAATTGCATTCGAATGGCCTATGACTTGAAAACTTATTTTCTGTTATTCCAGTCTGAAGAAAAGAAGAATATTTAGGCTCTTCAAGTTCTTCATTTACACAGCTGTGAAATCCAAGGCAAAGGATGAATATATATACATCTGCTGCAGGATCACCCAGCCTACTTGAAAAGTAATTTTAAATGTAATTTAATGTTTGGTAATGTGTACACTGTTAGGTTTTGTTTTGTTTTGTAGCTCTGTGGCCTAGGGAAGCAATACTGAGCAATGAGTAAAGTAACATGTCAAATTATTACTGGGGCTTTGGTGAGTACTAGTGAGCCTTCCGTCCCAGTGATAGTAACACCTGAGATAATCAACTTTGAAACTTGAAAGACTCTTGGCTCAGGTTTTGGTGTGTGTTCCCTTCTCTTCTCTGAGCCTGTGGAGACATAGCACCATCCTGTACCGGCTGGTCTCTTCACTGCATAGTGGCCAAGAGACAGTTTGCAGTGTTGCTTTCAGGGCAGTTCTCCAAGTATTCTAGTGCCCTAGAATTCGACCTTGCCTCTTGAGGGTACCACCAGTAACTTCTCAATAGCACCCGAAGCTTTTTAACACAGGCCTGTGGGGACAGCTACAAACCATAGTAAAATGTAAATCAATACACAGAGTAAACCCTGTATTCTCTTTTAAATTCCTTGTACAGATTATGGGGTTTTTGTTCTTTGGATTTTTTTTTATTTTAAAATCTGGTTTGGTTCTTTTGAAATTGTATCTAAGTTTAGCTTTTGCTGACTAACCATCCCCAAATGTTTTAAAGCAGCAAGCACTCCTTATTTCCTTATAGTTCTATGGGGTGGCTGAGAAATTTTGGTGGGTAATTGATGGTATAATAGTGTCTGACACCTCAGGTCAAAGGCTGGGTGACTGAATTCATTTCCTTTTGTCTGATCTCGCATCCTTCAGGAAGCTAACTTGGGCCTTGTCAAGTAGTGGCAGAATATTCCCTAGCAGGCTGCATTAAGTGTTTTACAAATTTCTGTCTTCCTCACATTTGATTTTGCTTGTATCCTGTGGATATCAAAGTAATCCAATAGACAAGGCCAAATTCAAGTAGTAAAGATAATGATGACTTTTGGAAAGACCCCTTTCCGAGTAGCATGTGGACATCAACCAAAGAAACTAGTAAATATTTTGTAAACATATAACATATCTTACAAGGGTCAAGGAAGGAAGGTCTTCTCTAATCCTTGTCCTGTCCTGTGCCCTCAGTCTTCCTATAGGTAATCATTATTATTCTTACTTCTTTTTGGTTCTCCTTTTCACATAAGCAAATGTATACATATGTAGATATACAGAAATATATAAAGATATGTATGTATGCATATATGTATGTATTTATACATTCCGTTCTCCAAAATAGTTTAAAATGAAAGGGTGTGTATGTGTGTGTGAAAACAACTAAAACAAAGGGTTCTATAAATATTAACTATATTAGCATTTTTATATTTATACTTCTTAACACAGGTCTCACTTAGTAATGTGGAAGTCTGAAGCCCACCTTTGTTTCTAACTTTGCTTAAGTTTTGTTTGACCAACATATTCAGAAATACAAGTTGGTGACATACCTTTGGGAGAATTCTTCTGACACTTCTCTTTTGGTGGCATTTCTCATGTGTAGCAGAAATTACAGCTGAAGCAAGTGCTTTGTAGCAATAAAGCTCTCTTCCTAAATTAAAAGGATAATTTATTTTTGAGATTCACATGGAAGCAAATGTGTTTTGCTGTAAGAACCTATAACCATGAAGTTGTTTACCTAATATAGTAAAACATTGATTTTAGGCCAATCTTATGAACAGCTAAAAAAGCAAATTTCAGGCCCTTTTAAATAAATCCATGAATTCACTTAAGTAACATTTAAAAACTGCTTTTCTTATACTCCTAAAAAATTGGCATGTTGCTCTCACTAATTGTTTATGGTTTATGTAATAATGATTTAAAATACTGATAAAAATTCATTTGACTTCTTTTCTATGATCCTCTTAAATGTTCTTGCTAGTAGACATAAACTATTTTGGGTTATATAGATCTGAAAATTTGATCTACCAGATAGCTGACAGAAACCTCTGTTTACAAATGTCTTGCCTAACCTGTGAGTGCTAATGTATTTTATCCTAGGGATCCTGCCTTCCGAGTGATTACAGTTACTAAGGAAACAGGCCTAGGTTTAAAGATCCTAGGCGGAATTAACAGAAATGAAGGACCGTTGGTATATATTCAGGAAGTCATTCCTGGAGGCGACTGTTACAAGGTAAACATAAAATAAACAATAATGACAAAAAACCACCAGTGCTAAGATTTGTTTTTTTCCTTCAGTAAATTGTTTTTATATGAGTTGATTGTTCTCAATGAAATATACAAGGGGGACCATTATCATTCAAGGGCTTTTCCCTAGCATATAAATAAATTCTCCAAGTATGTAAATAATATGTCAGACTCTAACTAAAAGTTATACATTGCTTAGTGACATGCTGTTGCACTAATTCTCATTGACTAACTAGTTGATCTTTTATTTTTGTCCACAAGCGACTAGAGTTAGCATTGGAGGGAGAAACTAGATTAGAATTAAGAGCAGACAGTGTCTAACCTGTTTCCTTAATCTCATCCTTGGTATACAAAGTATGTGATAGAACACCCATTTCTTTTTCTGGTGGCTAAGAAACTCAGGGCCAAATTTTAAGCAAAACTGCAGCAACTTAATTAACAAACCTGCTATGCTGCTGCCATTGTCACCTCTTTGAGGTTTTATTTATGTCAATGTATATATCTTATAAAGGATCTTCCAAGTTTATTCTTTTGGGCTTTTGTTAAATACTTACAGTTTGCCCTTCTCCCACTGCAGACACTCACAGAGCAAACAGTTGGTCTTTTCAATCGTATTTACTTCCTCAGGAAGGAAAAACATCACTTTCGCCAAAACCATGTAAAGATTGATCTGTTTCAGGTTTGTTTATTTCACAAGGCATCTGTGCTGGCTCGTTTTAAGTCAACCTGACACAAACAACTAGAGTAATCTGAGAGGAGAAAAAGTCCGTTGAGAAATTGCCCCCCATAGCTCAGGGTGTAGGAAAGCTAGGGTATTTTCTTGATTAGTGATTGATACATGAAGGTCCAGCCCGTCACGGGTGGGGACACCCTTGGCCTAGTGGTTCTGGGTGCCATAGGAACGCAGGCTGAGCAAGCCATAAGGAGCCAGCCAGGTTAAAAGTACTCCTCCATGGCTTCTGCATCAGTTTCTGCCTCCAGGTTCCTTCTCTGCTTGAGTTCCTACCCTGACTTTCCTCAGTGACGGGCTGTTATCTGGGAGTGTAAGTGAAATAAATTCTTTCCTTTCCTTCCCGGGTTGCTTTTGGGCATGGTGTTTGATCACAATAATAGAAACACTGAGTGTCTTTCCAATATATTTCTAAGTTGTAAGTTATTACCAGTTTAAGGTATTATAATGATAAACATTTTAGCTATCCAAATTAAATCCTTAGCCAAATAACACAGTTTAATGTTAAAGTTAAACAAACTCAAGCCCCCTCCCCCCGATAATTTTTTGGTAAGAATAAAGAGATTCACTCTCACTTCAGTTTTGAAGCTTAGAGATGTGAGTGGGGAGAATAGGAGACGGGAGGCACTTAGTGTAGTTTAAGTTGTTTGCTTGCTTACCTGTTAGAGACAGAGACTTTCTTTTAGACCTGGCTGACCTGGACCTCACTGCACAGCCCTCCAACTCATACCAATCCCCTGAACTCAGCCCCTCAAATGTTCATTTTAAAGGCCATCATATTAAAGGTGCCTGATAAATAATACAAATTTGCTTTTAAAACAAGTAATAATTATTCCCTAATCCATAAATATTTTAAATTAGAGTAGTAAATTGAAGACAGTAATTTTAAATGACTTTTTAACTGTTAAGCCACAGCAGATTAAGATATTATGTTCATGATATATGTCTGTTCTTATTGGTTGAAGTGTGCTGAAAGACAAAACTTTCTAATGGACCGTTTTCTTCATTTACCACTAGAGTGCAGCATGAAGTTATTAATGTTCAGGATATGTGCAAAAGAAGAAAACCAATTAGAAAAAAAAGTGTAGAAGAATAAGTAATTCTCTGGTCCTTATATTTATTTTTTTTAAATATTTCCTTAAGCCAGAAAGCCATAGGCAAATATAAAAGAGATGCACTTTCACTGTAAAAATAATTTTTTTGATACTGTGCTTCTAGTGACCCTGATTCTGTTTTAAGAAAGCATCCTATCACTCTTGGCAGTCTTTTATTTTTGAGACATGTTCTCACTAAGTTGCCCAGGCTGGCCTTGAACTCACTCTAGAATCCAAGTAGAACCCTTCTCTAAGCTTCCTGAGTAGTTGCTATTACAGATTTGACCCACCAGAACTAACATAGAATACAGCTTTAATCTGTACAGAATTTGCACATGGTGTACAAGTACATATTCATAGAAATATAGGCTGCAAACTTCTCCTTACTAGAAGGCCAGATTGATCATTGTTAATTATTCTCTGAATTTCAGTTTCATGTGTGCTTCAAGTTGGCTACAATTTTTAAAAAACTGATTGGGGGCAAGGCATACGTACATGTACCTGTTTTCTGCTTTTCAGTTTGTCATATGTGTGCAGTACCTATAGATACCAAAAGAGGGCATCAGATCTTCTGATGTAGAATTTGGATAGCTCTAAGAACTATAGGCAGCCTGCACCCTGAGAACAAACACACCGGTTTCTGAATAAGGAGATAAGAGGATCTGAAAGCCCCTTCAGCCCACTTAGCTAGTCCCGGGCAGTCTAGAGTCCTCAGAGACTATTCCTAAACCTGTTGACCTCAGCACTCCTTCCATCTTCATACTCAACTTTCTAATTTCCTGATGAAAATCTCCACTTAGCTCTCCTAGAGGTATCTCATAATTAGTATTTCTGAGGCACAATGGCACAATCTATGATATTTACCTCATACTGTCTTCTCATTTCTTCCCAAATAATAGCCTCTTCACAATCACTTTTCAAAGCTCTTTCCCAATCATTTCCTTCTTCCCATATCATAACAGCCATATTCCAATTTATTTTAGTACATACTGTTGACCTTTTTACTGTCTCTTGAGCCCATTAGTCATTCTCTCTGTCTCTCTCTGTCTGTCTCTCTCTGTGTGTGTATGTGTGTGTGTCTGTCTCTCTGTCTCTCTCTCTCTGTCTTTGTCTCTCTGTGTGTGTGGGGAGAGTGTCTGTGTGCATGTTTGTGGTATGTGTGTACAAGTGTATGTGTATGTTGGTAAAGGTATATGTATGTGTACATGAAAATGGGGTCAGAAGTCAATGCTAATGTCTTTATCACTCTCTACCTTAATGTTTGAGACAGGGTCTCTTAGTGATGCCAGAGCTGGTTAATTAAGCTAGACTGGCTGGCAAGTTGGCTCTGAGCTTCCGCCTCTCTCTTCCTTCCCAGCACTGGAATTGCTTGATTTTTTTATGTGGGTGTTGGGGTCTATACTAGGCTTCTGCTTGCACAGCACACAGTGTTTGAGTCATCTCTCTGAGCTCTCAGGCTTTAGCCTGTCATTGCTTTTCACTGGCACACATCAGCTTTGCCTGTTCTTAGTGCACCATGCCTGTTTCCTCTCCCACCGAGCTACCTTAACTACTATTAGTAACCTACAGGCCTCTGGTGGATCCCCTTCTGCCTTCTGCATTCCCTGTTTCTGAGAGGCTAACCTTCCTTATCTCCGTGTAAGTATATTGTTCCGTTAAGCTGGGAACAGCACCTCCTTCCCGTTCTACTATTCCAGGTGTCAGTTTAAAGAACACTTGGCAGAGGACTTATTTCCTGTCCTCCAGTGCAACGGCAGATAAGGACAGGTTTTATTGTTCCTGTGTCCGTGGCTAGGTCTTGTTCCCATGTTTCCTGTCATGTCACCTAGCTCAGTTTGTAATGGAACACCAGTGTCTCTGATTATTTTAACTAGGCTGAACCACTAGTCACTATTCCTCCTAAAGGCAAGGATTCCATCTGATTCCTTTACAGTTATTTCCTTAGTGGTAATCACTTAGAAATTAATGAATGGATGTTGCCATAATCATTCTGTCACCTGTCTGTTTACCATTCCACTGCTGTCAACTTCACTCCTGACCAAGATATATCTCCTTCTTAGCTCATTGTGTCAGATGATGGGTAATTTTTTGAAGTTTTCCAATGTTTTCTTTCATTTATAATAACATAAAGAGGAAAGCTTCTGCAAATATGAAGTAACATTTCATATTTCATTTAGCTGATCCTAAGTGTTTAAAATATATATATAAGCTCTGTATAATATACATGTATGTGGCTATGCACTATACCTGTTTGCCTATAAAGGTGCATTCCTCTCCTAGCTCTGAAATTGGAATGCCCCTCACAAACCATGCCATGGTGTACTTGGCAGTATTCTTCCTCACTATATAAAGAAATAGGATCTCTTGCAGTGATTGTGAGACTGGATAAACTGAAGAATTTTTGTCAAGCTTGTAAGTAAAGACAAAGGTCCCATTGACATAGGTGTCCACAGCTAGTCATGGCTCACAAAGCATGGAAGGCAGTATTTCAGTTCCGGAGGAAGCTATGCTAAGCACATTGCTGAACTATAATCGAAGCATTTGGATGCACAGGACAGTAAGGCTTCGGGAAGATGGAAACCAGTCCCATTGTGAACACTGAGGAAGCAGCAAAGGATCACACGGTTCACTTTGCAGCACAACTCTCCCCTTTACCGTTATTGTTCCCATTGTCTCATAACCGCCTTAACTTCCTCAAGGTAGTTCCTGGGCCTCCTTAACGTATTGTTGACTTACTAGATTCCTTTGCACTGTGCTAGGGAACCAAACACGGTAGCATGATGGGGCCAACCAAAGGAATAGTGTGACTCGTCTGAGAGGTAGCTATCTCAATATTAATGTGATCTAATTTGCAAAAGTGTGAAAGTAAATGTAAGTAAGGACAGTATGAAGTAAGTGCTAAGACACAGGTAAGTGAATGTGGGTTTTGTTCAGGCAAGACAGTGTTTGGGCCCGCCTGTGACGTGAGAGGGTTTGTCCTTTAGAGAAATGGGAGTGGATGGTAGGTAGCATTCTTGAGAAAAGTGGCCATGCGTAAAGTCACTGAAGTGTAAAGATGACAGCTGGTGTGAGGAACATTCTCTGAAAACAGGATGAGGAATTTTTATGCTAAGATAGAAGGTGTGTGGTGAAGCTAGAGAAAGATAGTTGTAGTTAATTTTCCAGCAGGCTTGGAAAGTTGAGGATTTTCACATTTTCCTAGCTGTGGGCTCTATCTCAAGAGCAGTATAACTGAGCTTCTCCAGAAGATGTAACAGTAAATGTGAGACTGACTCAGCTTACCTTACTTACCACCTGCATCAAGTTTTGCATGCATTCTTTGATTTTTACACTAAGTTCATATTATTGATACTTACACCAACTTTTTTTGCTAGGAAAATGGAGTCTCAGACATTACGCAACTTTCTTATGTGTACGGTAGTAACTAGAGTTAAAAGAAGGCTACATCTAGTTTGTAGCTTGGGAAAGGAATTCAAAGACTCACAGAAGCAACATTTCCTTACTGAGTAATTAGTTCCATCAGAACTGGCCTCAATAGATGGTTTCTGATAATGCCATAAGATGTTATTTGAAAACTTTATGATATAATCCTAATTGAAATGAACAGTGATGGTAGTTTACAACACAACTTATATGCCCAGGATCACTTTATTATTTTGACAGGTACATTACTGTCAAATGAAAGAGTGTTCAAACTGAAGTTCAACATTTAGACTTGCCTGGTGTTTAGCCAAACATATGTTGCAGCTGCTCTGTAACCTGTGACTGGAAGAGGCCTCGGCAATTCCTCGAGTCATGTCTGCACATATATTGTATATTAATCCATCTGGGGCAGAATTCACCCGCTTAGGATGTCAGACTCACAAACCTGGCTTTGTTTTCACTCGCATGCTCTGACTTTTAAACAGATTCAGAAATTTGTATGATCAGCTAATATCTTATTCTAAGAGGCAAAGAAAAACACTCACTGCTGCAAATACATGTTCAAAAGTAAAAATTAGTATACACACTAGAAACCTGTGGCCAGAGGCCTTCTCTCCTCCTCTTAAAACACTGCAAAATATTCCTGTGACACACACAGGTCATGGGAACTGTGTGGCTTGAGCGGAGAGTGAGGGAGACTGCAGGTCAGTCCAAGGCCTTTTGCCCATCTGGACTTTTGTAGCCTTTGGTCTGTATCCTGGCAGTGATTCTCTGTAACAGGCATTAATACAGGCCTTAGCGCCAGCTGGCTGGAGTTTGGTTCCTGGTTCCTGGTGAGAGGATGTGCTCTCGCATCCCTTTTCCTCATTGTCCTCTGCTACTAATTGCAGAGCTCACATTCAAATTCCCATCTGTCTGAATGCCAGCTTCCATCCCGTTCCCTCTCAGGTGGGCTCATGCTGGCATGTTGACCCGCTTGATCATTTTAGTATAAGGCTTGTGCAGAGAGCCACAACAGCTGTGAGTTCATAATGGCAGTGGTCTCATGTTCGGTAGACCCTGCTTCACTCCAGTTTCTCTCTGACCTCTTAGAATATTTCTGCCTCAACTTCAGCATTGTCCCTGAGATGTACAGGAGGGGGAGTACAGGTGTCCCATTTGTGGCCGAGCACTCCACTGGCTCCTGTTAGATTTTACGTCAAGTATCTTGAATTTGTAGAGATTGTCTCAAAACTATCAAAGTCAAAACTAAACTTTTAAACCTTGTGTGTTAGTCAGCCTTCTGTGACTACACTAGACCCCTCAGTTGGTCAACTGATGGTCCGTTTGGATTCACACTCTTATATGTTTTAGTCCTTGATTGATTGGCCCGTTGCTTTTGGCATAAGGCAACATATTCGGCAGGATGTGACAGCATGAAAATGCTCGTCTAGTGTCCAAGAAACCAAAGAGAAGGAGCCAGGGTCCCGTAGTCCTCCTTTTGGGATTGTCCTCAGTTCTTCCAGTGCCTCCTACTCGCCCCACCTCCTGAAGTCTCCACTGTTTCCAGTAATGCCAAGTGGGAACCAAGCTTCCAGCACACAAGGCTTTGGAGGATACTCAGAATTTGATCCTTTGTTTTTTCCGTAGTGCTGGAGAAAATATTTTCTGTGTTTATACTAATGAGAAAAGAGAGCTACCTTAGAGTCTGTAAAAGAACAGAACTTTCCTTCTCAGTTAAATTAAGGGGGGCAGACAAACAAAAGTGACTGAGATCCTGGCCCAGCAATCTTGTAATTGATAATGCTGGGTCTTATGCACTTGGGATGGTTATGTACAGGGCCAGAGCTTAACAAAGACAGCCAGTTAAATCAGCATGGCATGACTATGAAGCTGTATGCACAGCCTAGTAGATCTGGCCAAAGAAGGGCCAGCAAGTCTAGTAAGGAAGATAGTTGATTATTAACTGAGATTTGGATAGGACCAATATAACTAGGTTCCTTAACCTCATTAAAAAAATCAGTGTGCATATTTGTGCTTGTGTGTACACATTGTATGTATGTGTGAATATGCATGTGTGTTTGTATTGTGTACATGTATGTGTGTGTGAATGTACATTAATGTTAGTATTGTGTGCATATATGTGTGTGAATCTATATACATGTTTGTGTGTGAATGTATGTGTGTGCATTACATGTATGTGTATGTGAATATATTTGCATGTTTGTATTGTGTGCATGTATATATATGTATATATGTATGTGTATGTGCATTACATGTATGTGTGTGTAGGTACATTCTGCGTGTGCATGTATCTTCATATTCCATTAACCCAAGGAAAGATAGAAGAATATTCATTCACTAGGGTGGATGCATCTGCTATCCTGAAATATTCAATGTGAAGTGAGTGCTTGGCTTGCCCAAAAAAAAAAAACCTAATTACTTTTATTATGTTAATTTTATTAAAACTACCTTATTCTTTTTTATAATTTTCTCTTTGACTTTTCTTTTTAGGATGGGCGTTTGAAGCCAGGAGATCAACTTGTCTCAGTAAACAAGGAATCTATGATTGGTGTATCATTTGAAGAAGCAAAAAACATAATCACCAGAGCCAAGTTGAGGTAATAATTCCATCCATATGATAGGATGAGTCATTTAACATATATAGCTAAAGGTTTTTACTCTGCTAGAAACACTGTCTTTGAATTTACTTGATTGCATTTGTTGCATATTCACAAAATCATTTATTTTCATCATAGGTCAGAATGTCCTTGGGAGATAGCATTTATCAGACAAAAGTCTTACAGTGGCCATCCAGGAAATATTTGCTGTCCATCCCCATTACAAGCTTCAGAAGACTGTGAGCCTCAAACCTCAGCATTTAACCCTTTTCCCCCTCCCCCTGAAACACTAGTTCCGAAGACTTCATCCACGCCCAAGACTCAGGACTCTGTTTTACCTTCTTTTAAAGCAGCTCAGGTAATATTAAACTCCAGTTAAATATTCAGTTCATAAATCCCTTATGTTTTGCTCTAATGTTGGTTAAGTCAATATAGAATTGTAGTTTCACTAATAATACTTATTAGTTAGTATTTCCTTGAACGACTTTTTTCCTTTTTATATTTTTATGATGTACAATGCAAATTTTCAAGCCAATGTATCTTTTCTTTAAAAACTTAATTAGAAAACATCAATATACAACTAGACATTATTCCTACCTCATGGAAGATATGAACTCTGTGTGTGTGTGTGTGTGTGTGTGTGTGTGTGTGTGTGTGTGTGTAGTTCTTTATTTCTTCCTTATGTCCTAAGGCAAATCCTGACCATCCAATCTATAGAGTGTTCCCTTCACCCTCGCATGTGTGTGAAATAGTTCACCTTACTTATTTAATTTCTAAAAAGTAGGGAATTTATACATCCAAGTTAATGTAATTTCTTTCAATCTGCTATGTTATGCTATTAAATCACAATTCTAGAGTGGACTCTAGATTCTTTAAATTTGTGGTAGGAGTGAAATAAAACAAGAAACAGGTAGACTGTTAGTCAACAGGATAAGTTCCTTAAGGGCAAGGTCCATTCAAGGTGTATGGTGACCAGAGAGACTGTTTCCTGTCAGCTCTTAGATGATATCTTCTAAAAGGCAAGGGACATGGCCTTCTGTTCTGTTAGAGCCGAAACCGTTATTACTTTCAACTCTGAAATGCTTTCTTTGAAGATGAATATACCAAATATTGGAGCTTCATACTTTTTGAAATATTGCTTTGATCTCTTTAAACATTCTATTTATGTTAACATGAGCATATCTAGTTTGGTCTTTGACCTACTTTGGAAAATGACACATCATCTCCCTCATTTTCTTTCACAGACAAAACCTAGATACAGTAAAACAGAACATACTCCAATTACTTCTTTGGAAAACAGCCCAACAGATACATCTAATTCAGGTATATTCATATTTAGTTCCTAATATTTTTTTCTTCAATTAGTCTTTCTTAATAATGAATTCATAATATGACTTTCAATAGACTTTAAAGAAGGATGTTATGGCTTTTTTTTCCTTCAGTGTATAAACGAGCAAAATGAATATATTGTTTGCTGCTTTCTGTTAAATTTTGACTTTTTCTGGGAATTTATTTGAACATGGAGTTGAAATTTTAAGCAGTGTGTTATAATAAATGTATGTGAAGCTGTAATGGTTAAATTATAATCAAGTAACGAAAGGCTTCTACAGCCAACATGCAATTTGTTTTAAGCAGTGTGTTATAATAAATGTATGTGAAGCTGTAATGGTTAAATTATAATCAAGTAACGAAAGGCTTCTACAGCCAACATGCAATTTGTTGCCCCTTTACTCGAGTGCTCATGAGACACTCCACTGCACCTTTGAAAACACAGTAAGTACAGAGGGCATAGAATGGAAGAAAAGTGTTTGTTTGCTTGCTTTTTGTCTTGGAAGATATTTTATGAATGTAAATTGGAAAGTACAGCCATACTGACTTTCATATTGTTTTGATTTGAAGTACCCTAAAATGGCTTGGTGATTTGTTTTTAAATAAAATAGAAAATGATTTTTTAATCAAACCATAAAGTTCTTATTGTCTCAAATATCAAGAAAAAATAATTCCTCCACTAAAATTATCTCTAAAAGTTAGAGAAGACAATTTAGAAACTATATTTAATATAACTAAAAGGCTAACTACATAGTGCTGAATTATAATTCAAAGTGAAGCCCACATATATTAATTTTTAATGTCATTATTTTTGGTAAGAATTACAAAATAGTGAGAACTAGTCTAGGTTAAGTAGCTGCTAGGACATAGACAAATAGTATACTTTAGTAGAAGAGTATATGCTTACCAGGCATAAATGTCCGTATTCAGTCCCCAGCACAAGGAAAGAAAGGAAGGAAAGAAGGAAGGAAGGAAGGAAGGAAGGAAGGAAGGAAGGAAGGAAGGAAAGACAAAAGGAAAGAAGGAAACAGCCCCCATCAGATAGACCTCATGGGAATTTATACTCCATCATATATTTCCTCTGATTGGGGGAAGTATTTTCTGATGGGTTAGTAATCTTTAGCCAAAATTATATACCTTTTAATTACTGAGGTTTAGTGATTCTTGGAAATACTATTAATTAGTATTCCTTTCACGTAATTAACATCCAGTCTCTTGATAGACTGTTTGTATTTTAAATTGAGAATTCACATGGAAAGAAGATAGATGAATGAAACGGATGATCCAGGATTCGGGGTCAATCAGAGTTGCTCCATGTTCAAAGTCAGGGTCCTTTGTGCCTTGATTATATTCTAAAGCATTAATTATGCAAAATATGTGTAGTAAATTTCCAGATTTTAAAGTAACCAAACTAATTAGTCCCTTTAGCCATTTATTTAGTGTACATTTGCTAAATGCTACCTAGTTAGTAATGAACACAGCACAGCAGGAATTCCAGAGAGATCTAGGATCGTTCTGTGAGTTACTTAATATTTCTGTAAAATAAATGATTAGGTTAACATCCTCATTGCTCAGATCAGAAATCATTCAAGAATGTATGTATTTCTTCAGAGATTTGCACATGCATATGGATTTTATACTGTACACAAATAAAGTAAAGACATGTACAGAGTAGACTAAGTAGAGAGTGAACGAGAAGCTCCAGGGTATAATCGATGGAAATAAACAATGATATGCATGTTGTACAGGAAAACACAGGAGCAGCATGGGAGGTCCGAATCCTTAGCTCCCATGACCCTGAGACAGTTGCTCAGTGGTATTTTTAATCATTAATCATATTGCAGAAATGTAAGCTAGCATGTAGTTCAGATGACTTTCTAGAGCCAGAGCATGGTTTTAGAGCAGAAGTGAGGACTTCTTACAGGTGAGCCAATTTTATGTCCTTCCTTCAACCTCCAAAACTGGGATACAGCAAAAGACCCATTGTAATATGTAAAAAACAAGAAACTTCACCTCCTCAAAATTCAAACATCATCTAAGTTGTGAAGGAAGCAGGTAGAAGGCCATCCTTGTTTAAAGAGATGCCAAGAGCAAGAGCACAGAGCTCAGATAAGTGAGTGCAAGAGACCCTAAGAATCAGGTCTAATGAGAGCACAGATCTTGCAATGGTAAGTAAAGTGATATTTGTACCAATGACTATAAGAAAATATGCTTGATTTTGGAATAGGAAAGTAGCTATTCAGAAATATTTATAAAATTAAAATATTAACACAGAATATTTTTCTAGAATACGAATAGCATTAACTCAGATCCTCATTTTTATTTCTACATAAATGTAGGCGAGATTTACTAGATGGTGTTTGACACAGAACAGGGAGGGGAAATCCTCAAAATTGTCTCCAGGTAGCTTGTACATGTTATGGTTTCTCTGGTGTAAGTACATCAACATAGATTTCCCATATTAGATCCTTAAGTATCACCTTCTAGACTCCTTTAGTCAGTGGGTATTCACATCTGTTCACTTTCTCATTAGTGGACCAAATACCTGACAAAGAAATCAAGATTATTTGGGCTCACAGTTTCAGAGGGAACAGTCAGTGCATTATGGTGGGAAAGGCGTGGCTAAGGCCGTGTGGCTGTGGGAGCATGTGGCAAAGCTTCCCACACGTTTACCCTGTCAGGCTGCAGAGAAGGCTGAAGTCAGAAGTGAGTATAAACCATCAAAGATGTGCACAGCCTGCCAGACTCCCCTCTACAAGCTAGGTCCCCATACATAAACGTCCCTAACTCAGTAACATCCCTAAGTAATAACAACAGCTAAGGACCAAGTACTCAACCTATGAGCCCACAGGGATATTCCACATTCCAACCATTGCAGTACTTATTTTAAAAATGTAAGCAAGTTTTGATAATTAACCTCAACAAAAATAAACAGAAGATGGCTCTTCTCTCTTTCCATCTCAGAGATATTTACAAGTATAAAATTAGTTAGAATATTTAAGATCAGTATTATACATGAATATAATTTAAGATTATCTGTCCATTATATCTATTAGTCTGAGAATTCAGAATTGTTTATTATGGCAGTAAGTTCAATGATATGCAAGTTTACGAGTGAACTGCAAATAAACTGAAGCTATTTCTAGGGGAAAAAGAAACTGTTATTAGGTTAGCAGTGTGACAAGACTTAATTCCTTTGCACTCAGTCTTTCAAAGCTCGAATGATGGGGAAAATGTATCTTCTAAGGCTTTGTGTAACATAAAAAATTAATTTTACAGTGTTCATCATACTCTTACAAAGCATTTCCTTTCTTCTCATCCTAAAAAGAACAGAAATAGAGGATCCACAGAGAGGAACAAATGGGAGGTTGAGGCTTGAGGCAGAGTCAGAAAGAGAGGGAGGGAGGGAGGGAAGGAAAAAACAGAGAGAAAGGGGGGAAGAGTTATTGGCAATTGAGATATGTGAGGGACTTTATGGTTTAAACAACTCTGAATTGTCAACACTAGCTGGCGTTGTGCACGTGCCTCTTTAAGAATTAACCTGGAAGTCTGTATGTAGAGGAAGGTAGGCTGAAGAAACCAAGCTTTTGCCAAGGCACAGTGCTTGCTTGCTATTAAACCAAGGGTTGAGATAGTTTTATATCGTCTCTTCTTTCCTCTTCAAACAACATCTCTTTTTCAGTTTTTGTAGTTACCTCCATGACCTGATTGATTTTCGCCTTTATAGTCCTTGTCAAATACCACTTTGAGTCTTTCTACTTTGATGAAAATTTGATGATGAAAAAACATGGACTCAGAGCAATACTGGTTTGTGGGGTCACTAGAGATGAAAATTGTAGTGTTGTCATGGTCTGGACGTGCAGCCTGGGCCAATTTCTTTACCTTGTCAGGCCCTGGTTTGGGAGTGAGAATAACACCTATGTCATTGTGGTTATGATGAAGATTAATGAACTCAAGTCTAATTCATTCACTATCTGCCTAGAGGAAGAACAGAGCTAACTTGTTATTTCCACCTTTTGCCATATCAGATTTTTATGCTTAGCTGTAGGAAAACAGTAAACTTGTGTCCCTTGGTATATGGGGCTGTCGTGTGTGTCCCCTTCTCTCTCCTCTGCCCATTCCTTTCATCTACTCAGTGACACTTTCACACACTTAAACTTGAACTGACTCTCATTCAAGGCCAGCTAGTCTTGGTCTGAAACCGACGGGTTAGCTTTAGTTTACCTGATGTTAGTGACCTGTAATTGTAGGTCAGGCACCAACTGAAAAACAGGTCTCAAGATGCAGCCTTAAAGTTGAGAAATAGAGTTTCCTTACCTCTCTGTGCTCTTCCATTCCATTTCAGCCCATGCCAATCTTTTCTGCCACACTGTAAGCTTGCTACCGAGTTTCTCTTAAAAATAGGGATTTAATATTTTTTAACCTCATGGCCAACAATTAGATGTCATAATAACAAGAGTCTTTCTTGCTGTTACCAGAACTGTAAAATTTTGTCACACTAAAATCAACCCTTCTAGAGGTTTAATTCCATTTGGAGCTAAAAGTCAGTGACAATTTTTTTATATATATACTCTTAACACCTATAAGCTATATTAAAGATTTTGCATAGAATGTTGAGGATGTGTTAAAGGTTTAGAGGAAGACTCTTTATTTTCATATGTGCTTCTTATGTTCTTAAGAAAGAGAATGCAAATCATTCTGTACTTAGAGACAGATGCTCTGAGAAATTAAAAAAATTAAACACTGCATAAAGATGTGACATTTCAAAAAGTTTTTCTCTTCCTCTTGTTTCTATGTAGAACTAGTAAAATACCATTTAAGAGTGTATTTAGAACAGTGACAACTTAGATAGGAAGGATTGACATAAATTGTTGAAATTTGTCTTTCAAACGGTGGCATATTAAATCGTTTCTTAAGGGCTGGCCTCTGGTGGCACCTAATTTCCCATTCCTGCAAACAGAAAGAAGCATATCTGCATAATTAAGCTACATTGAAAACATACAGGAAAATGGATGAGGAGAGTATTTCCTAACTCTTAAAGGTCCACTTTTCCTGCTAGAAACATAGTCCTTGTGTAAAATGGAAGGGGAAGGGATTTTAGCTCAGAAAGTTGCATGCCCACATCATCCTTCTGCGCATAAATGTTAGAAGTTGCACTGAGTTTTTCTAGACTACTTCCACAGTTCTTGTAGTGGTGCTGTCTTTTCTAGCCAAGGAAATAGCATGGTCTTTCTGACTCTAATATTATTTCACCTGCTTGAACATGGAGGCTTTTACACTACAGTTACTAGGGCTTTGTGGTGAGCACCATAATGATTAGGTGCCCATCTTTTAGGCTAACATTTCCATAAAGTCCATAATGCATAATTTACTATGCTGTATATTATATTTCTTAGCGCTCAAGTAAAGCTGATTTATATGATGCATCTTAGACTTACAGGGGGAAAAATTCATAAAAACAAAAGTAAGACCTGCCAACTGTTTAACCAGAATTATTTTGAACAGCAGGAGCCCAGAACACAGCTTGTCAAATGAAAAGTTCTATTCCAATTAGATCTCCAATTAATGTGCACCCTGTTGTCTCCTAGATATTGCTCCTGCCTGGACTGATGATGATTCTGGACCACAAGGAAAGAAGATTTCCCTAAATCCTTCTGTTCGCCTGAAGACAGAGAAACTGGAAATGGTAAATCCCTTAAAATTATATTTTCTTCACAAGGCAGCAGGAAAGAGCTGCCTCGTTCTTGGAGAGGAGAATGTTTCTTGAAGCAGCTCATCTAATTAAGTGAGTGACAGTTTGTGTTTCAATTATTTAATAGCATTTAAATTTGGAAGTTCATAGTAGTTCACTAGAGTAAAATACAAATAAAACCTTTGACCACTAAACTGACATGCATATAAGTTCCTTTCTCTTTGGCTAGGGTGATAGCTTATTGGTTAAAGTGCTTGCCATGTAAACATCTGAGTTCAGGCCCCAGAACTCACATTTTAAAAAGCTAGTCTCATGGGAAAGCACAGATAGGCAGGTCTCTGGAGTCCACTGGCCAATTAATTGTATTGGTTGGCTTTTATGGCGACTTGACATAGCTGAAGTCATCTGGGAAGGAAGATTCTCACTTGAAAACAAACAAAACACAAATGCCTTCCTCAGGTTGTCTAGTAGGCAAGTTTTTAGAGCATTTTCTTGATTCATGGTTGATGTGAGAGGGTCCAGCCTACTGTGGGTACTGCCAACCCTCAGCAGTTGGTCCTGGGTTCTATAAGAAAGCAGGCTGAGCAAGCCAGTAAGAACTGCTCCTTGGTCTCTGCTTCAGTTCCGCTTCCAAGTTCCTGCCTAGAGTTCTTGCCCTGACTCTCCTCCATGATAGTGTTTGACCTGAGAATTGTAAGTTGAAATAAATTCTGTCTTCCCAGAGATGCTTTTGGTCATGATGTTTACCATAGAAATAGGACCCCCCACTAAAATACCAGCTTAGTGTATTTGGCAAGCTCCAAGCCAATGAGATACCCTGTCTCAAAAAAACAAGGTGGAAAGTAACTGAGGAATAACAACCAATATTGTCTTCCGGTGTCCGTGCAGAGATGTGTGCCCATATATACGTACCCACCCACCCCCAAACAAAAAATATGTCTTACTAACTATAATCAAAATTCTGACAAAGTTTAGTAGCCTTCATAGATGGTAGCAGTAAGTGCAGTGAAAAGTAGTCGGGTTCACATGAAATTGAAAGAGATGATGGCAATATGCTAAGTATTAGCAAATAATCTTAGGAAGAATAAAGCACTGAGAGCATCATGTACAAGAAACAGAAGGTAATTAAAACAGAAAAATTAAAGGTGAAAATCACTTCAGAATTGATGACGTTTCTGAGGAACTGAGAAGAAAACTGTACCACATCTGGATACAGTGCTGGAACTGGACACCCTGTCATCCTGTGACTTTCATGTTTGTAGAAGAATATGAAATTGCACAGAATAAACACATTATAATTAGAATAAACATAATTATTCATTCTCATCTCTCTACCTTTGCTTAGTTCCAAGTAGAACCCTTCTCATCACCAATTTAAATCTTCCTATAATTTAAGTGATGATCAAATGTATCTCTTTTCCAAGAATTTTCTGACTATGATTGCTTGGGCAAATACTACTGTATTTTACATTTTTGTAGCACTAAATGTCATGTTGTACTGCCTTATCATCTCTTTATGTTCTGTTTTATCAATGAGATTGAATATTTCTTCACATGTAATACTCACCTGCTTAAGTCAACATTCTTTTGCCATATAGAAGAGGACATGTGTCTCTTCTCACCTGTTACTAATTTCCAGGCACCCTAACGAAAGACAGTTTAACAAGAGAACACTACGGGTTTTACTTCTCCTAGACATCTTCAGAATGAAAACCCAAATAAGCCAGGAAATATGTACATTTATGGTTAGTTTTGGCCAGTGTTGTAGAAGGATAACTAGACAATGGGGAGATGATATCACTTACTAGTTATAAAAGGGAGAACTTCAAAAAGCTGGTTCAGTTAACAGTGTACTGTTAGAACAATTGCAAAAAGCATACAGCAGATGAAAAACATACAACATGGTAAGCTGTGATACATTTTTGTATAGAGATAACTTTTAAACATTATATAGAGTAAAGCTATTTGTAAAATATGGAATGACTATAAGCTTATACACAGGCACCACGTTCAGAGGGAAAAATCTGGAAAATCATATAAATTGCCAGTAGTGATTAACCTGAAGCACTGGTTCTCAACATCAGGAGTATAATTTTCTTCCTCAGAGGACATTCGGCAATAGCTGTGCTGGCTGTCAGTAGTGAAGACCAAATCCAGCTCCCCAACCAGGACTAAAACATGCATCCCAAAACTCTATGTCCTAAAATTTAAATAGGATTTCTAACAGCTTAGGAGTCAATTTTTGCTAACAAACATGCAAAATATGTCTCATTTCCTTGTAACTAGAGGAATTCAAGTTAACAGCATATTTCTGATATTGTGACAAAATGAAGATGTGAGAACGACAGTCTGTTATGAATGTAGGGAGCTAGGATTGTTTATATGTGGCTGGTGTGTGTAAAGGAGTACACATAGCTGAAGAACAATAGAGCAGTAGTAAAGTTGACACTGCCTGTGGCTCAGCGCCTCCCCTTTACAGTAGAAAAATTCCCCTTTACAGTGGAAAAACGTGCATGCATTTATAAAAGAGGACGTGTATAGTGTTTTATAATAAAAATGAACTATATATGTAAGCAATACTGAGCAACTGTGAAATTGTTAAGATTAAAAATTTGTAGTTATTCTTTTAGGTTACACTATTTGTATAAAATTATAAATGCACAAATTAAAGTGGACATTATTTAGGAGACATGTGCTTACATGCAAAGTAATACTAAAGAATTGGCAAGAAGAATGTAGTGACCTTAGGATAACATTCATTGTGAAGATTGATAGAGTAAGCTTTCAACCCTATCTGTAGTCTTATTTCTTGAAAATATCTGTAGATTTTAAGCAAATATCATCGAGTATTTTAAGATAGTCAAGTACTTAGGTGTTCTTTGTATTCTTTTCAAAAAATATTTGTAATTTCTCAAGATGAAAGGAATACACATCCACAAAAACTAAAAATCTTTCTTGAATGTTATATAAACAATACTTTTCTGGTTTTGATAGGGTAGATGGATGGTTCTAGACCAACCTTAAAAGCACTTTAAGAATCTTTCCTGATACTCAGCCTACTTCCCGTTTCCTACTTCCTGTTTCCTTCCACTGTGCCCAGACAAATTGTGCGCCTATATAATCAACAAATGCTTTTAGTGATGCTGTGTCCTCTATATGTTTGCATCAAATAAAACACTGTACTTACTAAGTCATTTGTATATTATTCTCACTCTAAAGACAATATGCTCTTTGAAGCTAGAGACTGCACGCTATTTGTCGATATCATTGCACAGTTGCATGCCAGACAAATAGTAAACACCAAATAAGTGCTTGGTTAAAGAACTGGTGACTATTTGAACATATTCCAAATTAGACAGTGATCTCTCAAGGATATTGTTTAATTTTAATGTGGTTTCTTTAGCTTTAACATGACTGACATTGTGTGTACTCTTGCTAGAATCCAATGATAGGGCACCTAGTCAGTTCTTGTGCAGTAAAATTAGTTTGGGTTATATATAACTAGAGAATCCCAAATGGCAGTGGTTTCCATTGGAAACTTAATGTTTTAGTTTTGGCTGGTTTGGGGCTACACATAACACAAAAGAAAATAAAGAAAAGTTTGAAGCCAGGTGTTGGTGGCGCACGCCTTTAATCCCAGCACCTGGGAGGCAGAGACAGGCGGATCTCTGTGAGTTCGAGGCCATCCTGGTCTACAGAGCGAGTTCCAGGAGAGCCTCCAAAACAATACAGAGAAACCCTGTCTTGAAAAACCGAAAAAAAGAAAGAAAGAAAGAAAGGAAGGAAGGAAGGAAGGAAGGAAGGAAGGAAGGAAGGAAGAAAGAAAAGTTTGTGTTAGAGACCAACATTCCAGCCTTTCAGACAGACTGCCTGTTCCATCATCATGTTGAGGGTCCTTGTGAGTCAAGGTGCTTGATCACTTCTCTCCTTTCTCCCTTTTCCTTAAGGCAAAGGGGAAAACTGCTTCCTCTACTTTTGATAAGATACCTCTCCAGCACTTCTCCACTGGCTAGCCTCAGAACCTCATCAAAGGGCAAAGTGGGCTGCAAATATCTTTTACCTGGAAATTATGATTAGTTCTGTCTAAGACTAAAGATTGTGGAAAGGACAGTAAAGTACAAGTGGGAGTTTCTACATTTTTTTTTCATTTTAAAGACAGAAGTTACTTGACCCAAAGGGAAGAAAGAGCCTGATAGAGAAATGGGTGTTATGGAAAACTTTCTAATTTCTTTAGTGTTACTTGTAGCCCAAAGCCAGCCAAAATTAAGACTATTTTTCATTTAGCACAATTCTATCAACTTCATTTCTAGTCTCAAAATAGCAACCAAATGCTTTTCGGGTTTGTTTGTTTGAGTGTTAGCTATAAATTTGACTTCAGTAAAAAAGTTTTCTGTTATTTTTCTTCTGCAAAATCACACAGACTAGAAAATAATTTTATTTCTGCTTCTGTAGCCATGTTTGTAAATATGGCATTAGCCAAGATATTTGCCGTGGGGTTGGGGTGTGGCAGACTCGGGAAGGTAATCATTTATAGGTAGTTAACCTATGATCAACAGACTTCCCATGGGCTCTAATTCTACCTGATGATTTGGTTTTCCACTGCATTGTAAAATGTCGTTCTAGTGAAATGTTTTACTCTTTGGAGGTTTGAAAATTGCTTCACATAAGTCCATTTCCTTCTAGGCTCTCAATTACCTCGGTATTCAGCCAACAAAGGAACAACATGAAGCCCTGAGACAGCAAGTCCAGGCCGACTCAAAGGGGACAGTGTCTTTTGGAGGTGATGTCTTAAGTGCATCATGTTGTGTTATCACAGACAGTTGGTGAAAGTTATTGTGACCCACTTTCATTAAGAGAACTTGTTCCTCAGAGGGAGAATGAAAGCGCACTGCACATTTCTTAACAGGCACTTTAAAAACAGCCATAGATACTGACCTGACTGGATCAGCAAAAGAGAGAACTTTATCAGGACCCATCAGATCACATTCTTTTTTCATGTTTTATTTACAACATAAAAATCGCTTTAATAGTAACAAAAGAAATTAGTACAAAATATATAAATTTTAATTTCACTTCTAGTTACTTCCTTTTTTCAGCTAGTGGAATAGGAAGCTTTTGTCGCACTGAGTAATTATTCTTAGAGATGGCATAATGCACCAAGATTTCTACTCTTGGCATATTGATGGTTTCTCAGTATCTGTTATTACAAATCTATATTTGTTGCAGCTTTTATAAATCTGCATTTATACTTTCAAATGTAGCAATTTCTTGTCTTTTTTTTAATAGGATAACCCTCACAATTTTGAAAGCTATCACTAAGTTTTGTTCCAAAAACAGTTTCCTGTTTGTCTGTTCTACTACTTGAATTTAATGATTACTTGCTAGCATTTATTCTATAGTACACACAATAAATGCTACATTATATCATTTTAAAACATGTCTATTGAGATAAACTTACTTTTTATATTTGAAATGAGGAAAAACAGATATTTGGGGTCCGATCTCTTCTTGAAAATCACCCCCCCCCAACAATAGTAACAGGAAACAGAAATATACATTTTACTACAACAACAATCCCCTCATACAACACACACTGCTCTCTCTGCACCCGTCTTCTGCCCTTATAAGTTGTGTGTGTGTGTGTGTGTGTGTGTGTGTGTGTGTGTGTGTGCGCGCGCACGCACGCGTGGGCGTGCGCGTAGACGAGAGAGAGAGAGAGAGAGAGAGAGAGAGAGAGAGAGAGAGAGAGAGAGAGAGAGAGAGAGAGTTTGTAAGGACAGAAGACAAGTGCAGAGAGAGCAGCCCCTGCGTTACTGTGCAGAGGCAGGTGAAGCACAGACATCTGGAGATGGAGGGCTCTCAGGCAGGACAAGCTAGTATGGAGTACCAGTGTGACTTTCGGCTGGGTTAGGCTGCACATTAAAATCAGAGTTCTTAGAAATGCTGATGTGGACATTTATCCATGCTACCTTCTCCCTTTATCAATCAGTGTAGCACCTATTACTTGCTTAAACTTCCATGGAGAAAGGTACATGTGCCATCAATAAATTAAACCAGAGTTGTTGTGGAACTGTACTCACTAGCAGCAAGGGAATTTGGAGTTGTGGTGAGTCATTGCTCAAAACATGTACCCAGATGCTCAGTGACATTTGCATCCATGTTTATAACCATAGTGGGGATTTAAGGTGTGTCTCTGAAGAGCCTAAACAAAAATGCCAGCAGACTACTGGATTGTTTTTCCTATAGTAAAATAATCCTTCCAGTTAACAAGGCACACATAATTTCCAACCAACTTTTTTAGTGCCTTATTAATTGTTAAATGTAAAGTCAAAAATCAAGGGTATCTGGACATTTGATAAGATCCACCCTTAAAGCATCAGGAAAACAGAAAGAAAAAGAGATGGTGAGAGGAGAAGGTAACTTTAGGTAAACCATTAATACCCTTCGAAAGATGAGAAAAGATAATGCAGCATAAAGTAAGAGCAGAAATTTGTAAAGTCAGAACAGAGGTCATGTATAAGGATCCTTTGAAATTACAATGTAATAGCTACAATGAAAACTTACTGAGGATACATAGGTGGGTGGACCATCACAGTGTCTTTAAGTTATGGACTGCTCTGATGCTCAACTTGCCAAGTGGCCTTGGTAAGTTTAAGAAAGCCTGTTGCAGCCCTAGTTTGCTCATCTGTAGAGTAGAAGGAGGACCTGTCTCAGTGGAGGTGAGGAATGGTGTGAGGGTGATCTCTAGGCACATACAGCTGTTACAAAAACTGACAAGATTATGAAGATCCTTTCAGCCTGAAAAGCCATGTGGCAACATTGCCTTTTTTTTCCCCAAAAATCATTGTGTGCATAATGTGAGAATTAGGGAATTAGATATCTGTGATACATGATTGCTTTATTGTTTAGCTGAATTATGTGACAAAGCTAACTGAAGTGATATAAAACATGGCTTTTCTGTTATTTAAATTTATATTTAACTGTTGCTTTCGTCAGTACTGTTTTAGGATAATTTGTGTAGGTTAACCTGAAACTTATAATTTTAACTTTCCAGAGAAGAAAGTAGTATCTGTTAAGATGAAAATAAATGCTATGTTCTTATCATAATGTGTTCACTTTAGACTTCGTCCAAGTTGCCAGAAATTTGTTTTGCTTGCAGTTGGATGAAGTAAATGTTGGTGTCCATGAGATCTCCAGCATCTTGGACTCACAGGTAGAGTATGCCCTCTCAGTGTTATGTTTTAATTGAACATAGGGCACACTCTTGAATGTTGTGGGTCATGTATGATGCCCTTTCTCCAGTTTCCACTGGCTTTTAACTTCTTAAATTATTCAGTTATTACTTATGTGGATGTGTAGACCTGTGCTTGGGTCTCCAGTACTCACATGGAAGTAGGACTTGAGCACCCCTAGTCAGCAGCCCTCAGTAGGCAGAGAGGATCTCTAGGACCTCTCTGGCCAATTGGCTGATTTGATGAATGCCGGGTTCAATGAGAGACCTGATCTCAAAAACTTTGGTGGAGAACAAGTGAGAAATATACCTGATGTCAGCCTCTTACTACATGTGCATCCACATGTGTACATGCATGTGTAGACAAGTGCTCACAGGTTCACAAACATACACAAAAAATTCTATGAACAAGATACATCACTGGAATAAATATTTAAAACCACAGATTAATCAAAAGTAGGTTTTCCTGTCTCTTGTTTTCTCAGGCCCCTGTGCTATGTTCCACCCCTTAGTTCAGCAGTATTGACTGCCGTGTGGAAAGGCATGTATTATGATTATCTAGCAACACAGAATGGTGTGTGTACCCAACCCAATCTATCTGGAATTCACAGTATATGCACAGAAGAGTGCCTGTGAGTCCATTCTCTATATGCCTTGAATGATATCCTAATATAACTTTGTATTTAGAAGTCCCATATTTTCTATTTTAAAGTTTATAAATAAGAAAATTCCCTTGTCGTTTCCTCTGAAAACATGCACACCAACCCACTTTTCATAATTATATTTAAAGCTCTAATTGTAGTATTGCAAAATTTTTTTGTTACAATAATGAACTGCCTATAGCCAGTTAGATTGGAGAGGATCAGTGAACGGACCTCTGGGGAAGGCCTGTAGACAGATTGCATCACAAAGGAAGGAGCCCTTGTGAGATTAAGTGATCACACTTTGAAAACCAGAAAGCAATGAATGACCTTTCACTAGGCTTCACCTCCTGAGAATGCTCCACCTCATAACTGCACACTCAGCACCATGTCTCCAAAACATGAACTCTTTAAGAACAAACCACATCCAAACCTTAGCCTGATTGCTTTTAAATAATAGGTCTAATTGGCAGGGAACTTCAGGACTGGTATTAGTTATATGTTGCTAGAAATGCAGAGTAGCTGCATGCCTAATTCATTGGTAAAAATGAATCTGATCCTCTCATTTAAAGATTACTCATGCCACATTTTTAACATTTCAGACTACTTTTTGAAAAATTCGATAAATAATTTATTTTACCGTTGATCATTTTACTCATCACAGTCATCCAAAAACCTAGCTATTCAGTTACTCCAAAGAGAGTACCTGGCTTTCTCAGAATGAAGGCACAGACTTATTAGAAGCAATCCTGTGGCATTTAGCAAAAAGCTGAACTGTAGAGCCCTCTTTCCTTCTGCAGATTTGTGTCTTAGGCACTTAACTATCGAACATTCTCTGCAAATCTGTCTCTTACTGCTGAACAGTTCTCAAGGTTGATGCGCCCATTTCTCGAGTAAAGGCAACTCTTGTTCATGGTGTGCCAGTAATGTAGGGACCTGTGTGAGCATGCAGGGCTTTTGGAGCAGCTGCAAAGCAATGCACATGCTCTGAATGAGTAATTTGTTTCCTTCTTACCAACAGGACTTTAAGGGCAGATAAGCGTGTAGTGTAGTCAGTCTATGATGCTTTGAAAGCAAAAACACCATAATGATGGCAGTTGTGCAACATACTCTGTGTGCCAATGATTTCCTGTTGAGGCTGTAGATCAAAATGTTGTGCAATAATCATTATTAATTTATGGAATCCTATTTGTTGCCTTCTGCTTATCATCACACAGATGATATTATTGTCAAGTGTTAGCTTTCCTTTTTTCCCCAGTTGAATCCATAATAAGAATGCATTGCCCATTCCAGTCACGTGTACAGTGAAAGACGTTTCTCAAAGTACACACTGAATTCTCATTTAATATTATTGAATTCTATTTCATTAAAAATCTCATCTTGCAATTCATGAGGGAATAAAATATCACAATTTTAAGAGTACTATAAAAGTCACCGCTTGTTAAGTAGCTCACCAAAAACAAATGAAAACCAAGTTATTGTTTGATTGTGTAAGTCCCAAAAGTATTTAAGTTCAAAAACAGTGGAGTGCCTACTCTGAAACAGTCAGTGTCTGTGGTAGATGATGCTGACAGTCTGTGAAGGTGGGGAAATTCCACCATGGCTACCCCTGCAGCCTTAGTTTCACAGTAATAGGGTCAAGTTTATAGTATTTTACATGGGGTGCCTGTGTTCTCCTTCTGTGACTGATAAAGATAGTTGATGAATGCATATGCTCTTTGTGGCTGATAAAGATAAAGATAGGTGATGTTTTTCTTCCCTTTTTGTGTGAAAAGCAGAGAGAGGGGTTTTATTCAACTGTAGCATATTAGGAAGAACATATAAAGGGGTCTAGTGGTCCCCAGGTCCATCTTCAGTGTGTTGGGGTGAGCTTTCAATATAAATAGAGTAAGAATTGGGTCATGGCCAAGAGGTATGAATAATTAAGTAATCCTGGTCAAGGTGTGAGCCCACCTATCTGTGCCCGAGCTATAGCACTACAAGATGGTCCTTAGATGTCATCAACCCAGGAGACTGGTTTCTATAAAAGAATCTGCTCCAGAGAACATGTTCTGTATTGCTGACAGTTGTTTTCATTCTGGGGTGGTGTGCCCTGTAGGTTCATTGTTGCTTGGGAGTAGATTTAGTCCCTTGTCTCCAGTCCCGTTGCCCCTTGGCTGTAAGGCATTTTAAGAGGAAAAGTTAAGGAAAGTGACTTGTCTCTGTGCCTTCAGCCTTGAAGGAAAATAAAGTAGGCAAAGTCAAACCAAACCAAAGTAGACGGAGAATGTAATGGAATGAAAAATGAAAGACATATTTAAGCCTTAAAGTGGGAATATTATCAAGAGATACAGAGTCTCCTTTTCAGGTTCTTAGTCTCATAGCTAAAAGAATTTTAAAATGGCATCAGAAACTAAGGCTAAGGTCAGTCTCACTGGCATTTGAGAGGGAAAACGTGAAGCAAGTGAGTTGCAGGTCTCAGCTGCTGTGGGGAGAGAGATGGATAATAGAAGGCAATGAAGGCCCAGGCAAAAAGCATTGACCTTCCACTAGGCTTCACCTCCTGAAGGAGTCGGGGGTCACTGGATTAGAGTTGTGGTGGGGGGAGTCTTATGAGAGAATGAAAATGCCATGAGTGTCAGAACAATGAGGCTTAGAATTCTGGATGGTATCAAGAGAAGAGACATGGTAAGCGGGCAGGAGAAAAAGTTACTGCTCAGTGAGTCAGAACTCAGAAGGTAACCAAGCTTAGCAGTGAGGGTCCACAGGCAGCTGGTTGAAGAGCAGCTTATGTGGTATGTGCGTACATATCTCATTAAGAGGATGCTAGTCCCCCATTTCTACCATGACTCCAAGTGTATGTTTCTGACATCAGGGTACCCATCTTGAGGTTGTAAAACAAGGTTTTTCCCTCATTACAGGAGGTCTACTTGCCTTGGCTGGGCAAGGCTATATCTTGCCCATATTGAAGGGTATTGGGTATTGTCATCTTCCAACCAAACTATTTGTAGAGGGGAATACCAATCATAAACCACAAACCATGCAGTTTGCACTGGAGAATGTTACTATGTTGGTATTTGTATATCTTAAAAGGGGTCTCCAACATGGGGCATGCTTACTGTGTATATTAGCAAAGATGTCATCCATAGATCATATCATCTTACCAGAAAGTTGACAGATATGCATATCTTGTAACTGGTACTTGAAAAGCAGATGGGCACAAATGGTCTTTCTCAGTTCCTTTCTCTCCACCTACCATCTCCTACAATTTCTTCTGAGGAATAAGGAGCTTCATAATCATAGAAGGGTAGGTGGGAATGTTCAGTTCTTCATCTCCTGCTGAATAGATACTTTAGATATTTCCTACTCCTTACTAAATAAGAGTGGGCCACAGGAGCAGAGGGGTAAAAGGCAGTCCAGTCTCTCTCCGAAGGTCCTAGCATCTGATTTTGTTATCTGGAATACTGGCTGGATTCGCTGATGCATCATCACCCGAAAGTTGGGTTTTAGGATTCTGGTGGGGACACTGATGCTGTCAGATAGATTAACAGCAAAAGCTGAAATGACACATCATGGGTCCACAATTCATTTATATGTCTGAAGTCATATAGGATGGCCTGTTCTATCTAAGAAGATCTCCTTCAGTTTTCCTCATGTGGACCACCAAACAGTATAGCAGTAGGAGACAGAGAATCCGTAGAACAAGGTCTGTATTACAAATAAAAGAATTTAAAGACGGATTTGGAAGGAATCTTGAGGATGTTTCGATTGGAGTTGAGAGAAAGCAACAGAGCAGGCCAGCTGGAGATTTTGGCAACTTCTGGAAGGGAAGTGGGAAAGAGAATGAGATAGTTAATGCTTTCTGAATTAGAGGTCAAGAAAGCAGAGAGACTCTTAGTGGAAGTCTGTGATTGCTGTCCTGGGGAAGGAGTCCTTAAGAGTGAATGCAAGTGAAGGGAAGAAGGACTAGGATTTATGTCATACCAGGAAGGGAAGGAGAAAAGAGCAGAAAAAGTTGCAGGGAATTTCTGCTGGCAACTGTGTCCTAGTTTGTTGTTTCATAATACATTTTTTATTTTTATTAGTTTTATTTTATTTGGGTTCCTTGTTGTTTTGTGTACTTATTTATTTGTTTGTTTGTTTATCCACTTATCTATTTTGAGAAGCTCTCTTGCTGCCCTGGCTGGCCTCAAAGTCAGTATGTAGCCTAAGATATCCTTGTTTTCCTGTTCCTGCTGGCTTTACCCTCAAGTGTTGGGATTACAGGCATGTACTACCACATCCAGCTTCTTAATATTTTAATACCTTTACTGAACTATCACAAACACATGATGAAATACAGTAATAAGTCTACAGCTTGCTGGATGTATGTTATGCATCTTTTTGTTCTTGTTTTGTTTTTTGAGACAAGGTTTCTCTGTATAACAGCTGTGGCTGTCCTGGAACTTGCTTAGTAGATCAGGCTGGACTTTGACTCACAGAGATCTGCCTGCCTTTACCTCCCAAGTGCTGGGATTAAAGGTGTGAGCCACCAACCACCCGGCCCTATCATATATCTCAGAAATCTCTTCCAGTCTCACCTGGGCATGGAACTGCTGTTTTGACCTTACAGAGATGGAGTCCATCATTCTTGTACTTCATAACTAGAATCATGGGGTGTGTGTCCTGTAACTAACTCTTCCAGCAATCACTTTCTCTGATTCAGATGTCAGGCTCTCACCTTTCTAAGGAGGAATTGCTGAGTCAGTGTTTGTCAATACTGCTCTTGTTTATTTGACAATGAACTTTTGGATTTAGGAGAGTGTGGCATTTAAAACCTAAAATATAAGTATCTTGCTGTGATTCTGATAATCATTTCTATATTAAAAACTTCACACAGCGCTACACCTGCTGCCAGTACAAGGTCATACACAGGAAAGGGAAGGTTGGAGCCTACACCCATACCCAACACAACTCCAGACTTGGTAACAGACTGTAGTTCACTAGAGTATAACGAATATATCAGTCTACTCAAGTATCAACAGACTGTAGTTCACTAGAGTATGACGAATATATCAGTCTACTCAAGTATCAACAGACTGTAGTTCACTAGAGTATAACGAATATATCAGTCTACTCAAGTATCAACAGACTGTAGTTCACTAGAGTATAACGAATATATCAGTCTACTCAAGTATCAACAGACTGTAGTTCACTAGAGTATGACGAATATATCAGTCTACTCAAGTATCAACAGACTGTAGTTCACTAGAGTATGACGAATATATCAGTCTACTCAAGTATCAACAGACTGTAGTTCACTAGAGTATAACGAATATATCAGTCTACTCAAGTATCAACAGACTGTAGTTCACTAGAGTATAACGAATATATCAGTCTACTCAAGTATCAACAGACTGTAGTTCACTAGAGTATAACGGATATATCAGTCTACTCAAGTATCAACAGACTGTAGTTCACTAGAATATAACGAATATATCAGTCTACTCAAGTATCAACAGACTGTAGTTCACTAGAGTATGACGAATATATCAGTCTACTCAAGTATCAACAGACTGTAGTTCACTAGAGTATAACGAATATATCAGTCTACTCAAGTATCAACAGACTGTAGTTCACTAGAGTATGACGAATATATCAGTCTACTCAAGTATCAACAGACTGTAGTTCACTAGAGTATGACGAATATATCAGTCTACTCAAGTATCAACAGACTGTAGTTCACTAGAGTATGACGAATATATCAGTCTACTCAAGTATCAACAGACTGTAGTTCACTAGAGTATAACGGATATATCAGTCTACTCAAGTATCAACAGACTGTAGTTCACTAGAGTATGACGAATATATCAGTCTACTCAAGTATCAACAGACTGTAGTTCACTAGAGTATGACCAATATATCAGTCTACTCAAGTATCAACAGACTGTAGTTCACTAGAGTATGACCAATATATCAGTCTACTCAAGTATCAACAGACTGTAGTTCACTAGAGTATGACGAATATATCAGTCTACTCAAGTATCAACAGACTGTAGTTCACTAGAGTATGACGAATATATCAGTCTACTCAAGTATCAACAGACTGTAGTTCACTAGAGTATAACGAATATATCAGTCTACTCAAGTATCATGACTGGATTCTTTTCAAACAGCAGTGAACATGTAAATGTAAATTCCCAAAAGTAGATTTTTCACAGTTTAAGTTCTTGTTAGTTTGGTGTATTGAGGCCATTGTTTTACCAAATGACATAAAGCTGAATGAAAATATCAAACAGAGTTATATGTGATGAGACTGTAATGTTTTGCTGACACTGGGTCAGGATATAAATGATAATTCATATGTGTTTATCAATAAACTCCCTATAACTTCTAAAGACCCATCTTAGGATATCAGATATGTACTGATAAAGTACAATGCTGATAACATTGTGTTAGGTGCCATGACACATGCTAATTAAGATAGATAAAATTGGATCCTTATAGTTTGCCAGAGAGCCAAGTACACAATAATCTTCAAAGTACATTGTGCAGTACTGCTAGAATAGTGATAGAACTTAGAACATTCAGGGAGGTGCATAACAAAGTTAGCATTTGAATTCCTTTTTAAAAGAAAGGTTGAATTTAGTCCCTTCTCAGAGGTGACCAAGGAGTGTAGAATGCTGTACTCAGCACTTGGGAGGTTGATGCAAGTTCATGACCACCCTGGGTTCCATAGTGAGACCCTGTCTCACCACCCCACTGTCACCAATAAAAGTCTTAGAATGAAACAGAAAAATAAAAGATAAAATGTGGCTGTTAGCAGAAGGTGGTCTTCAAAAATGATAATCATGTACATAAAGGTTATATGTTAGATCTTAAAGGGCCTAATATAATATATGATTTTATACATTAATCTGTAGCAGCAATGCATGAAACAGAATATTGTGCCATAATCAAAGTGACATTTTAGAAATAGTAACTGCATGTGTTCTATGAAAAAGGAAAATTGGGGTTAGGATGTAAGGAGGTGACGATAGAGAGAATCCAAATACAGGAGAATTAAATAACAGCAATTGTGTCAAGAATGGGAGTGAAAGATCTGTGATGTGAACATAAGCCAAATATGTCATCAGTAGAACTTGCTGACCATTTAGATATGACAACCAGGGGAGAGGAATGAGCTACCAATAACTCAATTTTTACTAGTATGTTTATGAATGATGGGATCTCAGTAGATATAGGAAAATAAGAAACCCTTATTCAGGAGATTAGATTAGATTGAAACAATCAAAGCTATTTGAAATATCTGTACAGCAGGAGAGGGACTTGAAACATTTCTGAAGAGGCACAATTGGATCGTGACAGTGATTCTGGCCACTTAGTTTATGGATGAAAGGGAACCATCCCACTCCCCTCCTAGTAAAGATGTAGCAATAAATCCCACTAGTCGTAATGTGAGGTAGTGGTGAGCACTTCAGGAAAGATCATTTCAAGACAGCTTGGGCCTGGAGATGGTGTGGTAGTTGAGTGCACTAGCTGCTCTTACAGAGGACCTGAGTTCAAGACTCAGCACCAACGCAGGGTGCCTGTAACTCCAGTTCCAGAGGAACCAGTGCCCTCCTCTGGCCCTCATAGGTACTGCACATATGTGCTGCATACACACAGGCACAAACTCATTCACATAAAATAAAATTGTACATATTTAAAATATAAAATATAAGCATGTATCTTTTAATCATATAAATTATAAGTAACAACAGTATAAGGGGAAGCTTAAAAGAGCAATGGCCACATACACTAGTTTTCCTTTATCTAATCAAACAACCCCAAAATAAAACCTGAATTTAGTTTGAGGGTAGTGAAAAAGGACTTTCTGTTCTCAAGGTTGGCACCTGATGCATAACTTGTGTATTTTAATGTTGACAGCTTCTTCCCTGTGATGCCCTAGAAGCAGATGAAATGGGAAAACTTAAACAAGAAAGAGATGCGGCTCGGGCAGAAGCGAATGTGCTTAAGGTAAACACCCCTTCGGCTTCCTTATGTTTCCCTTTCAAAGACATGATGCTGTACCGGATTCTGCAGTATTGAGCTCCTTTTGTTCTTAATGAAGTATGTTAGTATCAGGTAGGATCAGATCATCTGTCTGATTGTCTTTAGAGAGCTATTCTTTAGTTTCGCACTCACTTTCCCCCACTGTGCGATACACGCCCAAGATCGTGTGTGCAGTGGATTTTCCACTGTGCGATACACGCCCAAGATCGTGTGTGCAGTGGATTTTCCACTGTGCGATACACGCCCAAGATCGTGTGTGCAGTGGATTTTCCACTGTGTGATACACGCCTAAGATCGTGTGTGCAGTGGGTTTTCCTCTCATGTCTGATACGGCTCCTCTTCTTCCTCCTCTTCCCTCATATTGGTGGCCACAGCAGGTGTAGCTGAGGAGCCGACGAAGCAAGTTGTGACAGGTTTGAATCCTTTGATGTTCGTAGGAAATACATTTTTTTTCCAGGTGCAGGGCCATGTCTGAGGGCCGCTGTGTTTTGCAATTTGAAAATGAAGGCACTGTGTTTTCAGGGTAGAACAAATCACATATGCTCCAAATACACGATAACATTTTGATTCACTCTCTAGAATGGCATTCTGTTCTTAGTGGAATGTTGGGTTTAAGTTAAATCCCGACTTTACAGAAAGTCATTATATGTTCCAAGGAAAGCAACATAATTACTTTATGATCACTTTACCATAAAATATGCATTTTTAAACCTTTGTTAGGTGAAATCCTCTAGTTATTTAATTTAGTTTCATTGGTATAAATTCTCTATTTGAAAAAAGAAGCACCATTTTTTACTGTTGTTTTATAATGCCAGACTTCAGAGGAAGTTGATATTAAAATGTTTTACCATATCCTCTCAGAGATATGAAGACAGCCCAGCTAAATCACAATTTTTAAAATAAACATACATGTTGAGGTGAGAAACACATAGGAACTTGTGTACCATCCTCTACCTTTAACTATAACCCAAAAATTTCTCCAAAAATGAATTCTTTAAACAATTAAAAAGAAGTATATACATAGATTAGTTCTTACATAGCCGCTTTATTACAGCTTGGCTTCTGTTTTGCCTATGCTTCAAGATGAGTCATGGCAGCTTCTGCCACAGCTCTCCTGTGTCTTCCATGGTAGAGATCCCCTATACCAGCTGCTTATTTTACAGGGTTTTTAGCCATTTCTCTGTTAATGGCTATTTGGGTTATCTTCACTTTTCCATTATCAAAACTAACCCCAGGGACTAGAGAGATGGCTCATCTGTTATGAGAACCTTCTTCTAGTTCAGAGGACCCCAGTTAGGTTCCCAACAACCACATCAGCTCACAGCACCATCTTCTGGCCTCCAAGGACACCCACATGTATGTGACATACACAACAATAGATACACACACATGAAAATGAAAGAAAAGTAAATTTGTGAAAATGACAATTCCATTTTAGTAACTGTAGATGTGTGGGTGGGCACTTGTGAAAGTTCACAGTAAATCTACAAAATGGAATTGCAATATTAAAGAATACCAATGTAAAACATTCTATATATTTCTCCCAGTTTTCTTTCATAAGGCTTTAGCAATTCATATTCCTTTGAATATCCCACAACCATGGTTATATTTTATAACTCTGAAATCACCACCTTTCCACAAGTTGGTGTATCTAGATGGAAATATAGGATTCATTTTTCAAATCATTAGTTTCTTCTTACTCTCTTAGAACAGCCCTGTAGTGTTGGTTCCATTGGTAAGACAGCATTGGATGTCAGGGGTTTCTAAGGGTCTTGGATATTTTTAATTTCCCTACATTTTATCACTGTTAGATTTAATGATATATTTTGAGTTTATTTTAATGCTGATATTAATTTGCTAGAATTTTAATTTTAATACTGTAAGCCACACTGATGTAACATTTAAGCAAGGGCCCCATGAGGAGCTGTTTAGTCAAGATCACCTTTCAAGTTCATGAACTGTAATTGAGCATATTTTAATATTGCAAAACCTGAAGTCCCAGAATAAAAACGACTCTGCTTTAAATTTCCTCTACATTAAATCTTTTCTCTGGGACTCATTCATTCCTAAAGTTTCATCAGGGGGGCATGTCTCAGTCGTTAGGAGTACCTGTTGTTCATATAGAGAATCCAGGTTCTCTTCCCAACACCTACATGATGGTTCACAAACATCCATAACTCCAGTTCTAGGGAATCCTATGCCCTCTTTTGACCTCTGTGGACACCAAGTACACATGCAGGTCAGATGCTCATCCCCATAAAATAAAATAAAGAAATTTAATTTAAAACTTAAACTTATAAATGGTATATCAAGCAGTAAATATTTTGCTTGAGATAATGTTTGCATTTTCAGTTATTATACCTGTTGTGCTACAGGTGTCTACATACACATATGGACACACACACAGACAGAGACAGAGACAAAGAGAGCAGCAGAGCTCGTTAAGTGAGGATCATAGACTAAAAATAGTCTGCTACCACTCATCAGCATCCTTCAACAGCTTGGAGTCTCTGTGTCTCACTTTAGGTACAAATAGGCCCATGATTAATTTTTATTTTGCAGAAGTGCTCCTTAATAGCGCTATGGGAACTATTTAACCCTAAGACTTTCACAGAATTCAGATTGTTCCTGCTCTTGAAAGAGGAGTGGGGATAGGTGAATTTACAGGTGCAAAGGAAACCAGCAGAGCACCAGGTGTGAAGGGGGCTTGCAGAGTGTAAACTCACAGAAAGGCCCAGGCTCTCCACTGCTGTGGTAGTCATTAGACCTCTGTGTTATATTCACCTTCACTTGCCTTCGTTTCTCCTCCTAGACCATAGCAGACTGAGTTACTCCAGAGGTCAGATTTTGCTTCTTCTAAACATGGTGATGTTGCCAAGAATCTTCACCACTCTATTTAAGGTCCAAGTAGCCTGTTCACATTTTCTGTAAGCTGGCTAAGTCACTTACCATTTCTGACTAGACCACTCAACAAGGTGGGCATCTCAGAGTTCATGTGTGGTTTAGCTTTAGGTTCAAAGATGATAATATTTTACCTTTATGCGACATTCAACTGTGTATTTCATATTTTTGGTTATAATAGTTATATCCTTTTTGTGACTTAATTGTTTGGAATGGGCTAAAATTACATTAGGAAAATAATCAACCTAGTCTTTTTTTGGTATTAATAGAAGCTTTTTATGTCCAATTCAGAATGTTAAAGCCCTTTGTCTATTTACTTATTTCAATACTGACTGACTTCTGTTGGATCTCAGATTTTTACATCATATAACATTAAGGTAATAAAGAATGTTTTCACCACAATTATACTTGGATGACTACTAGATAGTATTATGTGAGACCAGGGAAATAACCAGGCATTGCATTAGGAGATTTTAGCAATTCGGCATTTGGAGAATATACTTTGAAACAGAAGACTAGAAATCATGCTTGGTGTCATGATGACATGCTATTAATTCAGTGGTTTTTAAACACAGGAGAAACTACTTGAATCAGAGAAACACAGGAAGCAGTTAACAGAAGAGCTCCAGAATGTGAAGCAGGTAGGTCTGTGTGGGGATAGGGTGTGTGTGTGGATGGGGAGGAATGCATGAAAGTGGAGGGTACATGAGCCTACCCAAATTTTAAAGCACTGATACTGCATCGTATCTCAGAATTTGTTGCTGCAAATGGAACAGGAGGAAACTGTAGAACTCTTTAAAATGAGCATTTGGAGTTTATACCCACTAGAGTCTGAAATGGCTTCCATGAACCAAAATGACCAGTCATGTTGCTTTTCTGTTCTCTTTCATTTGCCTTTTGTTTGTGACTTCCTTCCTTCCTTCCTTCCTTCCTTCCTTCCTTTCTTCCTTCCTTCCTTCCTTCCTTCTTTTTCTTTTTCTTTCTTTTGTTATTTTTACTTTGAGATTTTTATTAAAGAAAAACTGAACAAGGACTCCTCCCCAAAACTGCATCCAAGAGCACTGTCATAGTTAGTTGTTCATAATAGATGATTAAGAATTTGCTTTCACTTTCCAAAGTCTTCACCAAACTGGAAGTAGATTAGGAAGAGACAAATAGCAATATGAAAAGTAGAAGTACAAACAGTGAACACACACGGAGCAAGAGTCCAGGGTCAGTTGAACCCTGTTAGAGAAGAGTGGTTGCTTGATTCTGAACCCCCTCACACTGACCTCACAAAGTCAAGAAGATAAACAGAGCCATGCGTGACTCGTGTCTTCAATATGGCCATGACGGAGACCAGAGGAAACCTCTGAAAGTACATATAAGGAGAGTAAATTATTTTCAGAGTAAATCATGATGCTGCCTTGCCACTGAAGCCCAAGCTACCTAGACCAGAGAAGGTATTAAAGACTCTGAAAGGGAAAGGGAGAAACAAGAATCCAATGAACCAAAAGTGAAATCAACCCCAGGAAGAAAAGGTATAATAATTAATATCCAGGTCCTGAACATTTGTTGATGACTCTTAGCCAGGATTCCAAAGAGTGTGCACCCAGAAGTAGCACCCACTGAGGATCGTCGTTTCAAGGGGAGAATCAAGTAAACTAGAGTTAATAGAATACCTTGAGACCAGGCAGTGACTGGAAAGAAAACCTCAAGAGGAAAATGAAGTGTCTTAGGGAAAGAGAAAGCAGACCAATCTGCCTACTTCTCACCCTGAGACCATCAGTAGTGTGACCCATAATGCACCTGCACAGGAGAGGGTGCTCTTGACCTAAGATCTTTCTATGAAATGATTTGTTTAGAGCAGAAAAAAAAAGTCCACATCATTATCAAACAGCAGAAGTTCATGTGAATTAAAGCTTCTGTCCTGGTGACTGATTGGTGGTGGCACACATCTTTAATCCCAGCATTCTGGAGGCAGAGGCAGGAGGATCTCTGTGAGTTCCATGCCAACCTGGCCTACAGAGTGAATTCCAGGACAGCCAAGGCTACACAGAAAAACCCTGTCTTGGGAAAACAAAAAAAAAAAAAAATAAGTTTCCATCCTGGTAAAATGTGCACAGCAATTGAACAACGAATATTAGACGGCTGTAATATAGGGTTCCACATTCAGCTGAATGTCCTCAACAAGTATTGGAGTTGAGAGAAATATGCCTCAAATCTGAAATTTGGGGAAAAAAAGAAAGAAAAAAGAAGAGAAGACTAGAGCCAGTAAGATGGCTCATGGAGTCAAGGTGCGTGTTAGCAAGCCTGACATTTCCAAACATTTAGTAAAGAAACAGAAATGGAAATTAAATTCCCAAGTTTTATATTCAAGTGCATTGGGAACATGACAATAAATTGTAGAATTTTTTGATGAATTGAGAACAAGAAACTGCCAAAACTGAGAATTATCCAACTAAACTTTGCAGAATTAGAAGTGCTGCCTGAAGTGAGCAGCCTCTCACAGGTTCAGAACCTCCCACCACCACCATGTGTGCATTCCCAGAAAGATACCAGATTTCAGGGCCAAGAGGTCAGCTCCGTTACACCTGGAGTAACTTCACAAAGTAAGCAAGTGCTAAAGTTGACAGAGCCATCCACGGGGAGCTTCCTGACAGGGACTTCTGGGCCTGCATCTGGATGAGCCAAAGTATTAATCACAGTTGTAGATGATGCACTGTGGAATAATGATAACTCACAAGTCCATACCATGTATAATTAGATTAGCTAATGGATGGGGAGAGAGGAGCGATCTGGCTCATGGCGATTGTGGAGTGAGGACTGGAAACAGCAGCAACACTGCTAGATTTGGAAAGAAGCATTTTAAATGTTTTCGTAAGGATTGAATTAGGGACAAATTAAGATGCTAAATTTAGGAGGAAATTTTAATGAACAAGATATCTACATAGTTATGTGGTTTAAAAGTAACTCTCCAAACCACTGCTAATTATAAGGGAGAAATAGTAATTATGCAGTGGAAAATTGAGAAAACAGTTTGATGCTAAAAGTTATCCTCACCAATGAAGAAGTCATTGTCACTTCAGATGTGATACCCTGAAAAGGACACAGTGTCACCTATGTGCTATTCTGACTGAGAGTGTATAGCCTAAGTCTAACCTTGGGGGACATCTGTCAAAGTGTGTATATGTGTGTCATATTCTTAAGAACCATACATCCTAACCTGATAAGGTGCTGGACATTAAGAGGTGTCAAGAAGCAGGAAATCTAAATTCTACCCTATACCAGATCCTGTACTGGAGTGGGGAGAATAAGGATGTTACTGGGTGATTAGACAAACCTGGAAGGTAGAAAGTAGATCAGATGGATGAAAATATTGAATAGAATTTGAAACTCCTAAATGCACTGTAGTTACATATCTTTACTAGGAATACTGTTATACTTAAGGATAAAGGGTTATGATATATAGTTAAGAAACCATATGCATGCATGCATGCATGTTATACATACGTGTTGAATAAAGACGAGATTGAAAACATGTAAGGTTTTTTGCAACAGCTTATAAATATTAATGCTTATAAGAATACCTTGTATCTCATTCAGGAACTTATTGACCAAAAGCTAAATCTGGTATGTTTGGTAAATCTGGGTGGAAGATATAAGAACATTCTTATTCTTCTTTCTTTTCTTTAAAAATTTTGTAAATTTATTTTATGCAGATGAGTGTTGGCCTGCACATACATATTGCACCATGTGTATGTCTGTTTTCCAAGGTCAGAAAAAGCCATGGACCCTCTCTTTCTGGAACCCCTCTTCATTCTGTTCTTATACTTTAAAAAAATTTAAATCCTTTATAGTTTAGCCAAGTTTTCAAACTTTTGTGTTGAGACAGCCTTACTCTGTAGTCTGTCTAACTGTGAAACTAATGACAGTTCTCCTGCCTCAGTCTCCAAAGTGCTAGAATTACAGTTCAAATATCCTTTTGTTGTTGTTTTAGTTCTTAATTAAAGTGTGTGTGTGTGTGTGTGTGTGTGTGTGTGAGCGCATGCACGCACGTGCATGCACATGCACACCTGCACCTGTATGTGTGGTGCCTGAGTGCGTATGGAAGTTAGAGGACAACTTTAGAGACTTTTTTCATTCTGCTTTTGGGTTCTAGGAGTGGACTTGGGACATCAGGCAGGCCTAGCCATGAACATCTTCACCCTCTGGGCCACCAAACTGGCCCCTGACCCTTATTTTATTAACTATTTGGCTGGTATGCCTTTTAAGGTTTTTCTACTTCTGTGTCTTCAGCCCCTGTATCTCCAGTATGCTTTACATTTCAGCGTTTCTTTGTGTTCTGAAACTTGGATTTATGAATCTTCCTATTAAAATATTATGTGTAAAATAAACTAAGGGATGTTCTCACTACATTTAATTAAAACTTTTTGTTTTCCTAAATTCTTGGGATGCATTAGTTGTTGAATACCAACTATGTTTGACGTAGTCGTTACGTGAAGGTTGACATAAGACATAAATCTGAGGGAGGAAGGAAGGCAAGAGCCAACAGTTGTACTGTCTTTTCCCGGCAATAACTAGCCTTTCCACATAAGGCCTTCCTGTATTCATTTCTCGGAAATGAATATTTTCCATTATACAAAAAAATCAAATCTATATCGGTAAATCATCTGTATCAGAATGTAACACGAATAAATGGAAATGAGATAGAGATGAAAATGTGAAGAGTAGAGATTTTTCACTTTCCTTTGATGGGTGAATGTGCAGAAGCTAAGTGTAGGCGATAAGGGGCTACTGAACAGGTGTCAGTGTTAGACCTTGTAGGTTTGTATCCCCATCCTTCCTCGTGCTTGCTCTTGACCTCCAGCAAGCTCCTTTGCCTTCCCAAGCCCGTGTTTGATACTAGTACCCTTCTCAAGAATGTCAGAAGGACGCAGTGAGAGTAAATCCATACTCTGTGATGCATATCACCCATAGTAAGCACTCAAGTATTAATATAACTGTTAGAAGTCATAGAAGAAATGTTTTAGCCATTTAATTTAGAGGGAAATGAAATTCTAACGGAGAGATTAGAGAACTTCTCAGAGATGGAGTGGGATTAAAGCTGGTCTAACAGTGTGAACATTCTTTCATAGCAGGGAGAAGCATTCTGTAGGGCTAGAGGCCATTTTGTGTATTTAATTTTTACTGTGTTTATACCTTGTGTCTAATTAAGTAACAATAAACGTCATCCTGCAAATGATCCAGAGAACTGCAAAGTTTAAATGTATTAACTTTTGTCGGCTGATCCTTGGAAAACAGTAGTTAAGTATTCTTGTAACATTATCACTATAATCAATAAACAGAAACATGGAGATAAAGAAGACAGGAAATGACATTTAAGTTGAAATTTTGAGGCCAAATCATGTAGGCAGTTGAACGTTAACTTACAGGTTCAACGATCAACGTCCCTCAATGGTATTTGACAAATGAGAAAAATAAGCATTTTACTCCACCCTTCATCTGATCACAATCCCCCAGTGAAGCAGAATTGTTATATCCGGAAACCTTTCCCTAGAGCAGGACTGTAATCTGCAAACTGCTACAGTGAAGTTTTGGTGACTTTATGGTATTCCTTGGCTCCCAACTGCCAGGATCCCTTTTTCGAGCTGCAATGCTT